GGGGTTAGAATTTCGCCGGGGGGTGAGATCACATCTGTTGAAGTTCCAGGTCCACCGAGCTTCACGGCGTGGCGGGAGTGCTATGCTGTGTTTAAGACTGGGGCAATCATGATGGACCAAATCTCCCCGGCGAGATTGGACACTTAGGAGAAGAACATCCGTTCATATGTTGAGCGTTACGGTGACAGCTGTTGGGCTATCATATACCAGGCCGATGTGCGAGCCAGGTTGGAGCATTCAGAGAGGATGCGACGTCAAGGAGCGGATGATCGTGAGAAGGCCGTTAGCTTGGGCATGTCACATGATTATGATCCCGATAAGCCTTGGGAGTATGTGTGGCACGCGCTCGTTGAGGATCAGAGGTTCTGGCGCAAAGAGGTCGAGGAGCCTTGTCTTTTGGTTAAGGCCAAGTCGTCATCGGTGCACAATGTTGTCGATGCCGATGCCCCTATCTCACGCGACACGTCTGCTGCTTCGGTGCTTGACGGCAGCGCACAACCACAGAAGAAGCGCAAGAACCAGGAGCGCATGCACGTACGTGATGGTGTTTATGATGGAGGTGTATTGGGTCCGCCGTGCAACACCTTCTCCAATGCACGCTCGGCTGCGGATGGGGGACCTGAGCCTCTAAGGGGCCCAACGGGTCCGCATCGTTACGGGCTGCCTGGCCTTAAACCTGCCGATGAGGATCAGGTTAAGGTTGGGCCTTTATTGGCGATGCGTGCGTTGGGAGTCTTTCGCGAGTTTCGGAAGCAAGGCAGACCAGTCGTGTTGGAGCAACCGTGTTGGAGGCGAAACGATCCCTCGGCCGTCAGCATGTACAACTTGGACGAGTACCAGGAGCTGTTGGGCAACACGGATGTGCATCAGGCGGACTTTGATCAGTGCATGTTTGGAGCGCCGAATACCAAGCGTACCAGTGTACTGTTTTCTCACATTGACCTCGAGGGTATATGCCGGGATTGCAATCACCACAAGGTGTGGTGGATCAGGCCAAACGATGGGCGTCGTCATTATGGGGCGCACGCCCCGCTCAAGGGTAAAGCACCTTGGAGGCGAATCGCTACTCAACACGATGTGATAGACTGCGACACCTTTGACCGGGGCACATATCTTACCAGGAGTTCAGCCTCATACCCAGCGGAGCTGAATCAGTTTCTGGCCACGAGGTTGATGAGATCACGACTCTGTTTTGGCGATCCCGGCGGTGATCTTTTGTCCAACTCCAGCCGGAACGCAAGTTACTCGCACGTTGGATGGAATAAGATCATTCGTCAACTACCGCACCAATCGGAAATTCAGGCGAGCACGCAAGCAGGTTTTCACCAAAGACATCCGTTGAGGGGCAAGCGCCCCTTGGAGGAGGATGCGCATCTAGGCGGTATGAGGCGCCCTATAGCAAAGCACTGCGGACAATACCGGGTTATCGCGATGCAGGTGGCGCACTGGACAAACGCATTGTGGACTACATCATTGCGAACCGTCACGTCGTGCGAGGCATTGGGATCTGATGTTACGGATGCGGGGCCCCCGGAAAGCGTGATCGAGGACATCAAGGACCTGATGCGCCAAACATTTCCGGAGGTTGCACAACAAGCAGACGTGGCATTGGACACCACG